TAAGTCATTATAATAGAAGCATTTCCATACTTGGTAGCCAAAGGAATATGTGTATAGCCACAGGAGGAAAACAATGAAGATTGATAAGCACACACACTAAATTGTATTTCACTGTGCTTTAGAAATATGACCCAAGGAACAGCTCAAAGTAGATGAAATAGAAATGTTCTCTGAACAACTCAGATTTTCCACGTAATAAATTTGGGTAATCAGCAGATGACTTTTAGATCGTGCATTCATTTACCTTTTAATCAGTGTGAGAAAATACAGACATGGGGACTGGAGACATGGCTGGGTAGTTAAGAGCACGGGCTGCTCTTCAGAGGACCCTGGCTTGATTCTTAACACCCATATGGTGACACTCTGTAATTCCAGTTCTAGGGCATCCAACACCTCCTCTGGCTTCCTTGGGCACTTCTTGTAAATGGTGCACAGATGTACATGTATCCTACACATGAGACAATAAAATAAAGAAGAAAATGTAAAGACGTAAAAACTTAATACTAGCCAGGTGGTGCAACACTTGAGAGGCAGAGGCAGGAGGAGTTCAAGGCCAGCCTGGGCTACAGAGTGAGTTCCAGGAAAGACTCCAAAGCTACACAGAGAAACCCTGTCTGGAAAAAAAACAAAAAACAGAAACTTAATACTAAACTGCTTCCCTAGAGTGTTCATTCCAGGCTACGTAGGTCTTTGATCTGGCAGACTGCGGCCTTGTACACTGTACTGTGTTTGGGGACTCTGAAGAGTAAAAAAAGATTAGTGAAAATCCCTAACACAGCTTGACCATGTCAGGGCTCACTACTTAATGCGTTGGGACTCAAGGCATACTCACGGAAATAAGAAGTATATTAAGAGACTGGGTACCTTCAACTTTCACTGCCCTATTTCTGTGGCCTTGCTTCCGTTTCCTACCACCCCAGGCACCTGCTCTTTGTGCCTTGCCTGTGTCGCTTTTCCTTTGCATAGCCCTGCTGCTTTAATCCTTCTCCCCCACCTGTTTCTTACCACCGTCTCCAGTGGCCGGACACCTTCTCTTGTCCTGTAGCACTGGTCTGCTTCCTACCCACCCAGTCTCTTCCCATGCCGAGAAAGCCGAGCTCGTAGAGCAGTTCTGAGACAGTGCTATCAAGCTGAAGAAAGTCTTTCCAGCTCCTCCAGTCGTTTGTCATCGTGCAGTCGCAGGAAGAACACACAAAAGCACGTAGAAAGCTTTTTACTGTATTTTTGGTAGTAACATAACTTTATTAAAGGAGCTGCATACAGGGGCATTCCCCTTTCTAATATGTGAATTTGTATCCATTTTTATAGTTTGTATACTTGTAAAGCTACAAACACAGGTAACAGGTTCTCTGTTCTACGTTCTCTGCGCCCTTTTGTAGTTGACCCCACTGTCCTTCTGTGATTTATTTTTCACTTTGCAAATCTGATATACAGTACTCACTAGGTAAGTCCATACCCTTTGACAGCATTTTCTGTTCCCTGGTCTTGACTGTGCACCTCAAACATGAGTGAAGACATACAGTATTTGTCTTTGGGGGCCGGCCTTTTACATGTAACATGATTTCCTTGAGGTTCATCTGTGTTACAGTACATTCAGAATTTCCTTCTATTACATGTACCTACATACTTTATTTTGCTGGTCCAGCCAACCACTGAAGGACATGGGGTTACTTCTAGCTTCTGACTGCTGTGACTAACCCTGTTATGAGAGTGGGTATTTTATTTTTCGGCCTTTATGTCTTAAAATATTTCTTCAGCCCTCTTCTGTAGTACAGTAGCACATTTTATTAGGTAGTTTGATATTAGTCCGAATGTTTTGTGGGCTCCTTTTTCTCTGTGTTTCACTTTGACTGATTTCAATCATTTCCTGCAGTTATGTCAAATTCCCCGAATCTGTCAAAAACATTCTTTATCTCTATTATATTATTTCTGACACTGTCTCTTGATTCTTGCTTGTAGTTTCCATTTCTCTGTTGAAATTCACAATCTGATCAAGCTTGATGTCTCCTTTCCGAGGAAAGCCTCGGAGGGCTGTTTGCCTTCCTGGCTTAGTGCGCCCTGCATCTCTGAGTCAGAAGCTGGGATTGCTTTCTCTTTTGACGCTGGCTGCATGTTGTTCTTCGGTATACACTGCAACTTACTGAATGTCAAGTACTACAGAAAGACAGCAGCAGGTTATAGTAGTTGACCCTTTATCCAGAGGGGATTGGGTCTGGGGCCCGCTGTCAATACCCAGATCTGTGGGTCCTCTAGTCCCTTGTGTCAAGTGACACAGTGTTTGATGTCTATCCTACCGTACACTTGACCTCTACAAGTGGACTGATGCAGTATATGTGCTGTATAAATAGCCAGTGCTTTGTTGATAAAGAAAAGTCTGTTTATGTTCAGTACAGACAAAATACGTTTTTCCGAATCTTTTCAACCAGTAGTTGACGGAGTCCACAGATAGGAATCCATATGGAAGGCCAGCTACTATATGTGCTCCTATACTTGGGTATGACTCTTTCTCATGTTAGCATAGGAGTTAAGTCATTCTACTCAAGGGTTAAACTAGGTTTTTGGTTTGTTTATCTTTTAACCTACTTGTAGTAATATCTTGTGCTTAGGGTCAATGCTGACCTGCTGGAGAGATTTTTCCCACAGTTCCTGATACTTCCTTAGCTTTTGGATTGTCTTATACTTTATCCCTTTCACAATGGGAAGTTGCTGTCAGTGTGATGGTGAGGACCCAGCTACCTTCTGGTAGCCGGTAAATGCCATCTTGTTCATTTGAGGGTCTTCTACGGGAGTTTCTTACCCCTCTCACAGATATTGGAGACCCAAATCCTGGACTGTTTTCTGCTCTTCCTAAGGTATAGAGGTTTGTTCTCTTGTTTCCCAACTGTACTAGGTCATCTCCTGTGTCCAGAGAAATAGGGGGGACAGTTTGAGATTACCCTTTTCTAGTAGACTAAGCCTAGGTAGGCTTTACAGCCTTCACACAGTGAGGGCATCTCCCTTCGTCCAGGCCTCTCCTGTCTCCCTCTTTGCTCCCAATCATTCACTCATGCTGCTTCTGGCAGAAGATCGTGGTAAAGACCTTGCAGGAGAGTGTAACCCCTCCCTCGTGCCTCCTAAGAGTCTTCTTAGAAGTGCTTTTTAATAGCCTTCTTGCTCACAAACAAATATCATTCCATGTGCGAAATTGTATAATTACTTTGTTGACATAGAAAATGAATACATTTACCTGGATTAACCATAGTATACTGGACGTTTAGGGTTTGTCTTAAACTCGAGAGCCTCCTTAATCTAAATAACAAGCAAATTTGAAGATACTGGATGTGCTGAATAGTTTTATGTCAACTTGACACACGCTAGTGATCTGAGAGGAGGGAACCTCAGGTGAGAAAATGTCTCGATAAGATCAGCCTGCAGGCAAGCCTGTGGAGCATTTTCTTAATTAATGGTTGATGGGGGAGGGCCCAGGCCATTGTGGGGGGTGCCATCCCTGGGCTGGTGGTCCTGGGTTCTATAAGAAAGCAGGCCGAGCAGACCGTGGGGAAGCAAGCCAGTAAGCAGCACAATCAGCTCCTGCCTCCAGGTTGCCACCCTGCGTGAGTTCCTGCCCTGACTTCCTTCAGTGATGGACTGTGATGTAAAAGTGTAAGCCAAATAAACCCTTTCCTCCCCAACTTGCTTTTGGCCATGGTACTTCATTGCAGCAATAGAAACCCTAACTAAGACACTGGAAAATCCTAGGGTAATTTGGAAAATGTTGCTAACCTACTTTAAATATATACTTAGATGGTCATATCTTTTCTAATAAGTACATTGGTCATATGAATTAGGTTCACCCTAAAGAGTTCATTTAACCCTCTTCTCTAAAAACCTATCTCTAACTACAATCATACTGTGGTATTCTAAGAGTTAGGACTTACTTCAATATATAAATTTAGGTTGTGGGGCTACCGTTGAACTTGTAACAGAAGACACTGAAAACCTAGTTCAGATATAGAGCTCCTTCTGGATGACAGTGTCTAGCAGAGTCCTCTGCTACAATTACATGTTCTGTCTCTGCTAACCACTAGTCATGTGTGGCTGTGGCTATTGACTGTATGAAGTGTGCCTAAGGAGACTGAAAAGTGAGTGTTTAATTTTGTTAATACTGAGCAGTGTAAATAACCACATGTACCAATGGCTCACATTTGAATAATGCTTGACTAATCTAACATGTAAAGATTGGAAGATCAATTATAGTTAATATAGGAGTCTAATGCCACAGTCATAATAAATGAAATAAATAGACATAGATTGAGTTACGAAATTCTTAATGGAGTTTCTACCAATAAAATATAAAATAAAAGCGAGATAATAATGTATTAAAATGCCCTTGTTCTATCTCTATAGAGATGTTGTAGTTCATCTTTAGAATGGTATTGTTTTTTGACAAATAGATTTTAGAAATAAGTCTTTAAAGTCATTTTCATTTTTAATTTTAAAGAGGTTTGAAAATTGCATATAGCAAATGTTTAAATTAGTTCAATAAGATTTCAGTTACCAGATTGAAGAGTCCATTTAAATGAAATACTTCTGGGGGAAAACTGTAGGTGGTTTTAATAAAAACTAATTCATGTAGAGTAGGTGAATAGTTATGTGTTTTTCTTAGAAAACCTAAATCTAAAAAGTCATTCCACAAAGAAGAATTTGAAAAAAGTTTCATTTTTGGGAATAAAAATAGTTTGCTAAATTCATTGCTTCATTTATTGCTTTATTCTGTCCTTTAATGTTTTGATGCGATACTGTTACCTGGTAAATTTTAGGACCAAATAAAACTAATTTTAGATTTATAACGAAGTTATAAAAACTGCACTCCCGTATACCCTTTTCCTGGTATCCCTCAGCTAATGTCTTGCATGATTGCAGTATAATCATCAAGCTTTGGGAATCAGCACTATTGCAGTAACACCAGCTAAGTCTCGGTCTTTACTAATGACCCTCTCTTTCTGTTGTCTCTTTGACAGTGCTGGGGATCGAGCCCAGGGCCTCTCCCATGCTAGGCAAGTGCCTTACCATAGACTACACCTGCAACCCCAATGTTCCTTTTCCGTTCTACAGTGTTTTTTGTTGTTATTTCCAGTCCCTGTTCTGGTCCTTGGTCTTTTCTTTATGTTTTTAAAGGCTTTTGATTTAAAGGCTTTTGATTGATTATGTTGAAGAATGTTCTTAAATTTGGGTTTATATGATGTTTTTTTTCTTATTTGATTGATTAGCATTTTGAGTTTGTTTGCTTCTCTCTCATTTTTTTTTAGGTTTATTTATTTATTATGTATACAGTGTTCTGCTTGCATGCCAGAAGAGGGCACCAGATCTCATTATAGACAGTTGTAAGCCACCATGTGGTTGCTGGGAATTGAACTCAGAACCTCTAGAAAATCAGCCAGTGTTCTTAACCTCTGAGCCATCTCTCCAGCCCCCTGTTTGCTTCTCTTAAGACTGTCTTTGGAAATGATCTGCTGTCCTTCTCTGACTGTCAGGGGGTTATAATGTGGGTAGATCTTAAAACTGGTATTAAGCTTTAGAAATTTTGATTATGAAAACTGCCTTCTTTGATATATTATAATTACTATAAAATACCAGTCTATAAAACATGCTTTGTGGTACAAACCGATACTAAATATAAAAGCATTGATAAAAGAATGCTGTAGGCATCACTGGTTAATGGGACAGCGTTAGTAGAATTTCATTCATTGGAGTAAAATTCAATAATGAAAAGGAGAAACCATAGTTTCTTTCAAACAAGACAATTCTCCATTGGAAAGTTAGCAAAGTAATTATCAAGAAAGGGGTCTTCCAAATGAATAGAATTGCTTTTGTAGTAGTTATTAGAATGAATTTCTTGATCTAGCATATCATATGAAATCATTTTATTATAATTATTATAATAAATTTTTATATCTGAGCATTTAAGAATTCTGAATATATAAAGATACAGTAATTAAAAAAAAATACTATACCACCTGTTCCAACCTTTCTATCACATAAGCATCCTCATCTGTCCCCACCGAGGAATGAAACTCTAGTGGACTTTGGTGCCCTTAAACAATATACCACATTGTTAGGTATTCTTTTTAGCTTGGAGTATATTATATGTGTATAATATATGTTAATATATGTGTATCACATTTACCCGTTAGACGTATCCCATTCTAGAAGCACTTTTTGTTTTTATTGCTTGGGGTTGTCTGAAAACATTCTTAGACTATAAGCTTAATAATAAAATTAAATATTGTTGTCCATTCAGAAGCAGCACTCAGTGAAATGATAACATTTTCTCCTTATTTTGTTTTAGTTCAGCAATCAGCAAACACTGGGAGGCTGAACTAGCTACCCTCAAAGGAAACAACGCCAAACTCACCGCAGCCCTGCTGGAGTCCACTGCCAACGTGAAGCAATGGAAGCAGCAGCTGGCCGCCTATCAGGAGGAAGCAGAGCGGCTGCACAAGCGGGTAAGGGCAGGGCTGCGCCAGCGCTGCTGATGAAGGTTTCTGCGGTGAAGGGGAATTCGCATGTAGACGCAGCGCATGGGAGGGAGTCTGCTAGGGAAATTCTTTGCTTATCAGGAATATATATGAGCTAAGTTTCCTACTTTACTGGCTCAAGAAAAATATTTCTCAGAGTGTAATGAGAATGAAGATTATGGCTTTCGTCATCAAAAATGAACTGATTGTAGTTTCAGCTGTGCCAATTAGCTGTGTGCCAAAATGGCAGAGATGTAAATAGGAAAGGGGAATAAAGACAAGGGGACAAAGTTAGAACAGATACTATCCTCTCCTGTGTATAAAAATTAACTTTCAGTTTGTGAGATGAAAAAGTTGTGGAGCTCTGTTTATACTACGTGAATATACTTAATGATGCGTAAGATATTCTTGTTAATTTATCACAGTGGAAACCTAGCTTATGACAAATCACTGGTAGTAAATACCCATTGAAGATCTAGTGTGTTCTCTTACTGTGTAATACTTTCCCAGAAGGAATTTTTGCAGCAGTCAGAATATTAAAGTATTTATGAAAAGAAGTATGCGCCTGTAGTCCTAACCCTGAGAAGTGAGGCGGGAATCTGCGGTCTTTGGACACACATCTGTAGTATCCAGGGCATTCTCTTCTGTAGACTGAGCTTGCCGTCATTTCCTCGTAGCTGGTATCGGTTCTTTAGGATTGTTGGGCTGTGGGTATACAGGCAGCAAATCATCTCAGCTTTACTTTAGATGGTTTACTGACCACTGATTCCATTTCCTGTTACCACATGCACCGTCATTTTTAGATAAATATTGGACATTATAAGTGAGCTTTTATAAAGCCTTCTAGTTCCTTTGGAGAGTTGTTTATTATTATTATTATTATTATTATTATTATTATTATTATTATTACCAGCAGGCAATAAATCCCTTGAATTTATCTACTGATAGATTTAATCCATTTTAATTTTCACTTGTCCTAGGGAAAATCACTTGGTCTAGTCCCAGGCAGTTTTCTCCCTAAGATGTAACCCTCTTGAGGTGTGACAGGAAGCACGAAGTATTTTCAAGGCCTCATTCATCTGACACGATTTCAAACTGCCTTCTCTATGGCCAGTGCCACCACCTTCAGTCCTTCCAGTGTCTGGTTTTTATCTTCCTGTGCCTACCCCCGACCCCCCACCACACCCTGCACTCCCTGACCCTTTAACTGTGCACACTCAGCTGTGGAGTCCACTAAAGATTTGTGGGAGATCTATTTGCCTTTTATTTAACTCCCCCAATGTCTAGCTCTTCCAGCTATTCTGAGGAGTCCCAAAATGCTTGGACTCCTCAGGAAAGTAAAGCTAAGGGTTTTATCTTGAGTTCATCGAGCCGCAGCTGTACTAGCAAGTGCCTTTAGACAGAGATGTGTGAGTCATTGGCACCTAATGTGACTGCTTTTCTAGAGTTGGCTGTTTGGGGGTTTTGTTGTTGTTGTGTTTGTTGTTATTGTTTGTTTGTTGTCTTTTGTCATTTTGCCCATAGGTTGGTTGTTTTATGTTTTTTTATCTGTAGGAAAGTTAGTCCAATAAAGCCATTCCATTTTTATCAGCACTGAAATTCCCTTTAAGACATTTTTAGTTATTCAAACAGAGACAACTGATGTTTATTAAACAATAAATAAATGATTCCAAAGAGTTTTTAATGTGTGTGTGTGTGTGTCTGTGTCTGTGTCTGTGTAAAATGTCTGCATGTAATTTTGGTTGAGTTTGTGCCATGACTCCCATGTTGAGGTGTAGGGACTGAACTTAGACTGTTAGATTTGTGTGTGGCTCTTGCTTTTCCTGTTGAGCTGTGTCTCTAACCCATTCCCAATAGTTCTTTATTAGCTGCTCCGTATTGTGAGCAAGGAAGAAGAGAGCTTTGAGGTTTCCAGCAGAAGGGATTGTCTTTCAGAAGATAGGTGCTGAGTTGACTACCTGTTAAGATCAGGATGGTCTTCACAGGACATTCTAGTTCAGTCAAGAAGATGGACGTGAACACCATTTATTCTTAGGTCAAAGAGAATTGCCTACTGTTACAGTTAGAATTGTACATCTTAGCCAAAATAGGTTGCAGCCAGTGAATGACAGACCCTAGGATTGAATTTACCCCTGTGGTCTGGGATGCAGCCCAGTGGTACAGTGCTTGCTTCACATGTGAAAGGTCCTGGGTTCAATCCTCATTAGTGAAAAGAAAAAAGATTTAATATTATAAAAAGCAATTGGAAGACTTTGAATGTCATACAGTTATACTGTATGACAGTTATAACAGTCATACTGTTAGCAGTTCCCGAATAGCTAAGAACAGAGACCACAGTTGTAATTAAATCCACCACAGGAACATTGCATTTGTTCAGACCTAGTAAAGAAGGTCTGTATAAGGAAGCATATTAGTACCTAAGTAGAAAGGAAGCTGGGATGTGAAGGAAACACTTCTAGAATACAGAGGGTAATTTGCTGTTTTGAAAGCACAAGGCAAAGTTTGCTTTATCCTAGTCAGCAGGACTTTGAGAGAGTGGCATATGAGAAATTATGGTAGGATGTCTGTAATGTGTACATGATTTCTTCTTGTATTAACGGGTGGATGACTTTGAAGGACACTGACCTTTCCCATTATCTTAAAAAGGTGTCAAGTGCTCATTAAAAAGTGCTCATTACTTGTTGGCTCTTGGTAAATTCCTAGTGACTGAAGAACTGTTGTCTTTCCCATAAGAGGCACAGTTGACATGAAGTCATTCTAATATCCCAAGTTTTTAGGTGTTTTTAAGCATATCTTTCTTTTCAGATTCTCTCGTATTTTGGAAATATATTTGAAAAAAAAAATGCTTACTTCTGTAAGGCCAGTTTTCAGAACGCGTATTTCCCTGAGACTACAAATGGGGGAAGTGGAGGTCGTAGCTGTGCTTGTACAAATGTTAAGGAACATTCCTTAGGAATTTGTTGTAGTGATTATCACTTGTTTTCCCTAACCTGGCTCTGACCAGCACTGAATAATTCATTGTCCCCAAACTATCTAATAATCCTTTGGTTTTTGCCATTGCCTTAAATATTTATCTTTAAAGAATTTATTTTATGCTGGGAATATTAATAGTCTTTCATATAGTAATTCAAAATTCATTAACTTCTCAGGGGCTTACTATGACTTCAAGAAACCCTTTGAAATTGCCACTTAATTTAACCGTGTTCTCATTTAATTGCAGGTCACTGAGCTTGAATGTGTTAGTAGTCAAGCAAATGCTGTGCACACGCACAAGGCAGAGCTAAATCAGACAGTACAAGAACTGGAAGAGACGCTGAAAGTGAAGGAAGAGGTAGGTCCACTCTTCAGTCACCTGCGATCCAGACAGTGTTGTGTACAACGCTGTAGATGGGCAGGTCTGTAGTACTGTCTGCAGAGACGTGAGATTGTCAGTCTTTTAAAGATGAAACTTACTGTTAGGAAGCTTGCTCACGTTTTCCCCACTCAGGTTCCTGTTATTATTAACTGTGTTGAACTATGGCTGCCTTTTGTATGAGAGTTGTATTTATATAATCAACAGGAAACCATTAGAGATTAAATGCATTTTTGCAAGTTGTTGCTTTTTTGGTTTCTAGTCAAAAAGAGCTATTTTATATACCAAAGGAAAAATTGTATCTCAAACTTGAAGCTGTTTAGCACTATGCTAAACCATCAGATTATACTTGCTGATAAAAATCATTCTGGACTGGACATATGATATTGCACCTTAGTCCCACGCCTAGGAGACTGAGGCAGGAAGATCTTGAGTTGAAGCCAGCTTTTGCTATGTAGTGAGTTCAAGGAGTGGAGTACAGTGTGAGACCCTGCCCCACCTCCAAGAAAGAAAGAAGGAGCCTCACTCTGTTCCAGGTAGCATACCTATACAGACATATATCCCCTCTGAAAGTAAATAAAGGACACCTTTTTAATTACTCTTTTCCTCAGAACTAGGAAATAATTTCAGGGGAAAATTAGTTCTTCCTTCTCCTTATTATAAGTTAAATGTTGTTAAAGACCTTACTTTACCTTTTCCAGGAAATCGAAAGACTAAAACAAGAAATTGATAATGCCAGAGAACTCCAAGAACAGAGGGACTCTCTGACTCAGAAACTACAGGTAAGATAAGTAAAAATGTTTGTTGACTCTACCCAGAAAGTATTAGTCATTCTTCAACATCAGAATGACGTTTTTGAGCTCCCGTTTTTGTTTTCTAGTACCTCTGATTCATGGCTAATGTTCAGTGTTCTAGACATTCCTTGATTACTGCATTTGGGTAGTTTGTCATCAATGGGGGCCGTTCATAAGCTGTTGTCAGCGTAGGACTTTGGAAATTTCTGCTTTTATCATTAAAAGGTACCCTAAACCTAACAGAAAACGTCTCTGATGGATTTCATTTAGTGTAGGGACCTGCTGAGCTACTGTCTGAAATCTGGCATTCCTTGTGCTCTAATAAAACAAAAGTCAGTGCCTTTTTCCTTTCGTCAGCCTTAAATCAATTTTGCCCACTTTTTTTCTGCATAGCTAACATACTTCCTGATTCTAGTTGACATACATGCATCCTGTGTTGGTGGGAGTCAGATGTAGAAAGATTTTTCAAAATTCATTACTAAACTGCCTTTTGCCAGCGTAAGCTAGCCGCCTTAAGAAGGGTTAGAAGCACTTTAGAAAAGAAACAAGTGTGTTCATAAAGTGAGGAGTTTGTCAGAGGCTTGAAGAGGAACCTGGAAGCCAAGGATTAGGAGGAGCAGTTTATAAGAAGACTTAGCAATTTTTATTCAGTACTTGCTGTGTACAGATGTTATGTCAAGCACTCTTCATATTATATCAGAATATCACAGTTCAATGCAGAGGAACCCAGGGCTTGAAGAAAACAGTTCAATGCAGAGGAACCCAGGGCTTGAAGAAAAGTAACTTGTCCAACCCATATTTAGATCAAGACAGTCCAACTCTAATGCCTCTGTCCTTGACCACCAACCAAACTCTGCAACAGTGGTGACCCTTCAAAAAGAAGACTTGGCCAGGCATAGTTTCATACACCTTAATCCCAGCACTCAGGAGGCAGGGGCAGGAGGATTTCTGTGAGTTTGAGGCCAGCCTGGTCTGTGTATGAGTTCCAGGATAGCCAGGGCTACACAGAGAGACCTTGTCTCAAGGAAAAGGAGAAAAAGAGAACAGGTTCCTTGCATGAAACAAGGCTGCCTCTTCAGCTTTCACATACAGTTAAGCCCCTCAAATGTACAGTCTGCTCTGGTCTACCAGGCCGTTGGTTTCTGGGTTCAGGCATTCACGGAGGTCTTCCTCTTCACAGCCCCTGTGCCCTCTGGAAAGGATTAGAGTGACAGCTTGAGAAGCAGGTCTGTGGAAGCTGTTACGTAGGTTCTCTGACTGCCAGTGGTTTGATGTTTCTGTTCTGTCTTTAGTAATATCCAAGTCCTGAAATTTTCACAGCTTTATTGTCATTGTATGTTCGTGTGGTTTGTGGAGGATGGCTGGCCGGACTCTTATTACTTTGTCCATTCGGAAATTTGTCTACTTCTTTATTGCCAATATCTTCCTCTAGAAAACATGTTGTATTAAACAGGGACCATTTTATCTTTACTGAGTATTTTATTCCCAGTGCCTAATAGAAGATGTCTAACAACTAATTGTTAAATAACTTCTCCAAAATGCATACATTTCTTTTACTCATTTTTTTCTGTGTAGAAATGAGTTATTGATGCTTCTCTTGTTGATTTAAATGTTCTGTTATGTGTAAAGATCTAATAAAACATTAATATATCTTAATTACATACTTAATATCTTAAGTATAAACTGTGAAGCAGGTGTCCTTAAGACAATTTTTGTATGGCTTTTATTTAGATTGAATGGTGCAGGATTTAAATGTAGAGAAAATTAACCATACCTGGTCACATTGGCAGTGGTTATAATTATATAATTTTAAAGTTTTTCCCCAGCGTTTGAGTAGCTAACATATACCACCTTTGCCCAGTAGAATTTTGTACTTTCATTTTGGGGCCTTTCAAGCACTCTGAAAGGAATTTGAGATTCTGGCCTATAAAGTGCTTTTCTTTTTTGCTACACTGTGAGGTTGGTGCTCCTCAGGTGCCTTGAAGGACTAGGAAATGAGTAGACAGAATGATGGCAGAGGACAGCCTTGGAGAGAGAAGCAAAGGCCAGAGGGGTTGCCGAGTGTGTGCACAGGCCAGGAAGATGCTGGCTGTGACTTCAGTCAGGGCCAGTTGACCTCTGTTCTCTAGGTTGTCTATTCTTACCCCACAATCATGTTCTCCCCATCTAAAAATAGATCAGGGCCATCTTCATTGTGCTGGTGCTAGTCCGTTACTGAACTAGTAAAGTCTACAGAGACACATCTTGGAGTTGGACATGTACTCTACAGAGTATAATGCTGTTGAACTGAGGGAATGGTGTTTTGTGTGGTTCCAGTCAAATGTTGCGTGTTTCGTTGGTTGGCAAGAAGAACAAGGGAGCCTTTCATGTCTAAGAAGACTGTAGAGGGCAGACTGGGCTACGGCTGTGAAGTGAGCATGACGACGGATGATGTTTGGTCTATTTCTGTAGCTGGAAACATTCTGTCCCTAAGCTTGTTGCTGAAGTGCAAGAGAGCACTCTGTGCAGTCATGAGTGGAATTTGTACCCTTGATCACAGGACCTGTTCCTCCCTGATAGTTTACAGCCTCCATGGATGTAGCTTCCGAGTTTCTAATACTAATTTCTGATTCTTTTGTTGGTTCTCTTCACCTAGCAAATACTTTGAGATTAGATTGGGTCTTTACACTCTTCATTTACAAATTATACGTGTTCTGTTTCTCTCTTAATTCTCCCACACTTAGCAGCTTATCTGGGGAGTGATGTAATGTTGCTTGAGCCTTGTTCAGAGTTATCACCGTCAAATCCCATGATTATGTTCAGAATTATCAACTGTTACTTTCTTTAATGTTTTCAAGTTTACCCAGTTCTTTCTCTCAAGACTTGAATGTTTTTATTCCATTTATATATTTATTATGTGTATGTGCCACGGTGACTGTGTGGATGTCAGAGGACTACTTTTGGGAGTCCCTCCTCTCCTTCTACCATGTGTGTCCTGGGCATTGAACTCGGGTTGAGAGTCTTCTGTTGTTGTGACAGGGTCTCTCTGTGTAGCTCTTGCTGTCCTGAAACTCCCTCTAGAGACCAGGCTGTCCGTGACTCACAGAGATCCGCCTGCTTCTGCCTCCCTAGTACTGGACTAAAGGCATGCACCGCTGTGATGCCAGCTTAAGTTGTGAGTTTTGGAAGCAAGTGTCTTTACTTGTTGAACTACCTTTTTGGTCCTAAAAGCTTTCATTTTTGAGAAGATTGTGAGAAAAATTAATGTGGAGAAAAAGATACTCATAATTCAAACACCAGAATTCTTTCCTTTTTTATGTGTATGCATGTTTTTTCTGCATGTATGTGTCTTTGGAGGCCAGAAGAGGGCATCAGATCCCCTGGAGCTAGAGTTACAGGTGGCTGGCTGTGAGCTGTCATATGGATGCTGGGAATTGAATCCAGGTCTAGAAGAGCAGCCAGTGCTCTTAACCACTGAGCCATCTCTCCAGCTCTAAATTTGATTTTCAAAACTAAAGTTAAATCATTACTCATGTAATTTTGATTTTTTTTGGACTTGCTTCATTATATATTTGTCATACTTAGAAACATTGTTAAAAGCCATTTATAACTCCTAAGTAATCCTCAGTGTGCTGGCATTTAGACTATATCAAAAATTTTAAACATTCTTGTATTGTCACAAAATTTTGCTTTCTTTTTGTCATTTTTTTTCTTCCTGGATTGTCAGCCTGGAATTGTCAGCTTTATACTTCTGATACATGCAGTTACTGAATCTTCATTATAGCTTTTTGAGTTGAGCAATTGTGTATTCTTACACAGTCATTCCTTTGATCCTGAATACAGGATCAGGATCAGTATAAGACAATCTTACAACCTCATTTTAGGGAGTTGCTTTTCTTTGAACTCTTTCTTTAGAGTTACCGGTTAGGAGAACCTGCTTTCTCCCATCTCTGCCCGCTCTCACCCGATTTCTCAGTAACAAAGATCAGCAACAAAAGTGAGATGTAAATAATCCTCAGACACCCACCTGAGGGTTCTGCCCGTCCTGAGAAGTGCCTGAAGCCTTGCCTGGAATGAAGCAGTGGGTAGTAGCCCTTTGTTGTGGGGAGGACAGGTGTGTTCATGGTCAAGCATGGCTCTCTGAGATGGCTGAGTCCCAATCTCCTTAAGTTGTATGAAATTGAGCGTCAGAGGCTCAGACTTATTAAAAGATACTAGGGACAGCAGAAGTTGTATTGTTATCTAAACAATGAACTGACGTGTGCGTGTATGTTGACTTTTGTTTCTGAAGGAAGTTGAAATTCGAAATAAAGACCTGGAGGGGCAGCTGTCTGACCTAGAGCAGCGCCTGGAGAAGAGCCAGAGCGAGCAGGAGGCTTTCCGCAATAACCTGAAGACACTCTTAGAAATTCTGGATGGAAAAATATTTGAACTAACAGAATTACGAGATAATTTGGCCAAACTGCTGGAATGCAGCTAAGGAGAGTGAAATCTCAGTGCCAGTTGATGAAAAGATACTGTCTGTCTTCATGGGACTGTTGGGGCTCTGCACCAAGATTGCACAAAATTTTTTGAATATCATTTCCTCCAGGAGGAGGGTGTTTTGAAAATTGGAATTGTATATTTCAGTATAAATTTTAGAATTTAGCTTGTAGCTAGTTGGGGAAAAAAAGACATGAAAAACTTGAACTACAAATTACCTCCATGTATATTGGCCATAGTTAACTGGAAAGTTATAAGTAGACACTTAATGCGATCTTTCACCCCTGATATTAGCCAGTGGGAGAACTAACAGTGTTTGGGTCCTTTCTCCCCCCCCCCCCCCCCCCCCCCCCCCCCCCCCCCCCCGCTTTTTTTTTTTTTTTTTTTTTTGTTCAACACAGTGAAGATTATCTGCTTTTTAAATTAATTTATTTATGATATCTACAGCTGTGTTTTATGCAAAAACTTAGTACTAAAAGCCCTGTCTTTTGTTGTTCTCTGAATAATTTCTCAGGATATTTTTGCACTGCTGAGAAGCAGGGCCATTACCAATTAATTCTTGCCAGGCGTGGGAGAGAGCTACATCTCTAATTGAAATCACTGTAAATGGGTGTCTGGAGTCCTTCCTTTTTGTACTAGGAGTGTCTCACTCTAGTGACTGCTCTGGTACACTCTGCTGCTCTCCAGTCTTGTCTGCCCTATAGTTTACTTTTCCATATTGATGCTTGTATTTATGAGAAGATACTGTCTCCCATTTTATTACACATTTTCAAGACAATTAAACAAAGGCAGCTGAGTCCCTCAGATATTTTTCTTTTTGAATTTACAGTAAATTTGACACACAGAACTGAAATACAGCAGTCTGTCCTTGGCGGTTTAGCCTAGCAATGTTAAGTATATTTACAGAAAATATGCAGTTACATGTATTTATATATTTGGCAAGAAATCTTTTCTGAGTGATCAATGAATTTCAATTTCTGAAAAATAATGGTTATGAGGGCACTGTTTCTTAGAGATAATTTTAAGATGGTTATGGGGGCACCGTTTCTTAGAGATAATTTTAAGATGGTTTCTTAGAGATAATTTTAAGGTGTATGGCTGATTTCAAGGAGGTCCACTTCCACCTAGCAGTCAATCAGAGGACCGTATCTAAATTGTGACTGTGGCAAATGGGTCTTCACCGAAACCATGTCTTTATTCAAACTTCACAAGGCAATATTTTGAACTGTTAACTAGGCATTTCAAAACGGGAAATACCTTCAACAGGCTCTTCTCGGAGAGCAGGTTTTAGTGTTGTTTTGATGTAACTTTAAGACATTTAGCAAACATGCATTTCTTTATATGATACATTTCTTTCACAAAGCTATCTTAAATGCAAGCCAAGTGCCGTCTGCTCTGCCGTAGTAGGAATCGCATCAGCATACATACATTCTTGCTGTACATGCCTGGGACCTTGAAGGGAGTTCTTTCAGTGTATGCTTGAGTACCTGACTTTGGAGTCAGTGAATGAACTGATTTTTTGTTTGTACCCCAAATGATTGAATTGTTCAGTACAAATTAAGCAGATTAACCCATTTTTCACTCATAAACAGATTTTAGTACTAGTTTTGTTTTATATTTATGTGTATGTACATACATACATACATATATATCAATTTATACCAGAGTGAAAAATAAATGGTTTGTCTCTAAAGTTAGTTTCTATGGGGAGGTGTCTCTGAAAAATCTCTATCAGACAATTAGTCATCATGTATTATATGTCCAACAGCCACAACCATCTATTTGAGGGTATTTTCCTTACCTGTTTATTATAGAGAGAATAATTTAGGTACACATGCTCAGAGCTGAGATATTTCTCTGATAAATCAGGTAATAAAATTTATTTGATGGATAGAATTTTGAGAACAGATATGATTTTATCTGAGTTTCCTGAGTTTCTGAATATCAAAGAATACCAGGTTTTAATTTAAATAGAGGACTAACACTAGGGGTCAGGGAATTTAGTTACGAAGAGTTTAAAAAAAAATCTTAAAAAAAAACAAAAAAAAAAAAACAGTGTAAGCTGTTGATATGGTAAGCGAATTATTTTAATGATGTAATAAAATATTTTTAAATTTTGGCATAGTGATGATTTAATGGGAAAATAACTCACCAAAATGTCTCCACTTGAATTGTACTGATAATGTGAGGCATATGTGTAATTCAATATATACATATACCTATATGTATATACAGAAATTATTTTTAATATTTTCCTACTGCTGTGAAATTTAAAATTGGAAATTTTGTGAGTGTTTTCCATGTCCAATAGAGCCTAATTGTTTCTTTTTTTAGTAACTTAACAATTTCTTGAGGGCTGCACCTATAACTTCCCAGCTTGTCAGTAGACATGTACAGTACTTGGGAGCAGGTGGACACAAGTGCACATATAAATAAACCTTCTTACTGACTATTTTAAACACTCAGTCACACTAGAGGAGCATTAGAACTCATCGCCTCTGAATCGTAGGTTGTGTGCCTGCCGTAGCTTTTTCCATTGCTGTATTATAGACACATTTGCATATTAAAATTTGATTTTTCCCAGAGATAAATATTATATAATGTATCTATATTTAGATCAAACGTGGTAATATGTTGATCGGAACCTAATGTTGGGGACTATAGCCTGAACATGTGGACTTGCAGTGACACCGGAGGAGAGCAGAGGTCAATCCCATTTCTGTATAAGTTATTATAACTATGAAATCTTGTACAAAAGCAAAAAACTGGAAAAAAAAACAACCAAAAATACAGTTTTTATTTTGAAATACATTGGTTCTCTGGAGAATGTACTTCATCTTTTTTTCTCAATCTTTTAAGGATATTTAAAGCATTTAAGCGATGGCAGCATTTCTTTCAATCCTACAGGTGCTACTGGATTTTGCATTAGTATGTGATGTTTTAAAATCCTAACTTTGACATAAAAGGTTTTATAAGTATTTCCCTGCCTGGAAAATTAGTTTTTATTCTCTCCTCATTCCCTCCTCTCGCTCTGCCTCTCTAGACTTAAAAAACGAACATTCATGAAATCACATTCCTCCTTGTCCCTAGAGGAAATTTGCAGCACCATCCAAACTCTGATGCTCTGTTGTCTTTGAACTGCTGGGCAATTAGAGAGGAGCTTGTCCCTTGTCTTTTCAGGTGCCCCTGAAATGGTAAGCTACCACATGACCTTGGAGAAGCCATCTCTTTGCTCTGTTAAATTAAATGTATCTTCAGCAGGTGTGCCTCTGCCGTCTATGTTTTTGCCTCTGGAGTGTGCTCTTGGGCTGCTGCCTCCTGACCCCGACCGCCTCCGGGACCGGAATAGGAGGCAGGCCATGGGGAGAACTTGGGAGTTATTGTTTTGAGCCTTTCATTTATTTGTTACCAAATAATTTCAGCATCTGAAATTTTGTGCTTTAAACATAAAATAGACTTCATTGACCCTTTTAGCATAATCTTCTAGCATTCATGAGGTAAATTAACATAATTTCTTTTCCTTTCATGATGCTTGGGCGTCAAACCCCAGGACCTAGCACATGCTAGGCGAGTACAGTACCACTGAGCTACTTCCAGCCCTATGTAAAATCGTAACGAAGAAAATTGCAGGTAAGAAGTAGTTGAGTTTGACACATTTGAAAAAAAATCTTTAATAGAATACCACATTGTATGGTTAGTAATAATAAGTATTTTTAAGAATATATCCTTTTTATTTTAGACTCGCTCATTCCACTGTCCTAAGGAAAACAAAAACTATTTTAAACTGGGAATCATCATTCTTTTCATCCCAGCATTGAGAAGGCTGAGGCAGGAGGATTGAGAGTTGGAAATTAACCTAGGCTGTATATAATAAGACTCTGTCTCAAAAATAAAGAAAAATAAATTTAAACCTAATAAGCAGAGGGACTTCAGATCACTGACTGTTTGACCCCAGAAACTCTGAGTCAGCACCACGCCCACCCGACAGTCTGTTTGGCCACTAGGTAAAGCGGGTGCCCTAAGAAAAAAAGAAAAAGATATGCATTATAAGTGTTTTGCATGCATATATATATGTATGTATGTCTATCTACCAAGTATGTGCCTGGTACTCTCAGAAGTCCAAAGAGGGTGTTGGTTGGGTTCCCTGGAGTTATGGATGGCTGTGGACTGTTATGTTGGTCCTGGGAACTGAACCCAGGGCCTCTGCAAGAGCAACAACTGCTCTTAACCACTGAGCATCTCCACAGCCCCAGTTCTCTGAGAATTTTATACAGTGTGTGTTTACTGTGCTCTTTTCTGTTCCCAGATCCTCCCCTCCCTACCCTCCCTACTTCATGTTCTTTGTCTTGAGTGAAAGAGAAAAGGATGGAGAGAAGGAAGAAGGGAGGGAGAGGGAGAAGCCACTGAAAACATGGAGCCCGTCGCTCCTGAGCATGAGGCCAGCCCTGGACGAGGCTTGGTGTGCCCAGTGTCACTCCAGTGAAGAGTTTCCCCTCTTCCCCCAGAGCTCAGTCAGAGCTTCTTGGTTAGTGGTGGGACTCCGCGGCCTCTTCTCCTTCTCAGTGCTGGGATTTTGTCTAGCTTGAGCAGGTCTTATCGGACTGTCACAGTCTTTGTGAGTTCATATGGACATCAGCCCTGCTGTGTCCAGGAAATGTCTTATCCTTAAAATCCTTCATCACCCCTGACTTTTACCATCTTTCTGCCCCTTCTTCCACATAGATCCTGAGCCTTGAGGGGAGAGGTGTGATAAAGACCCCCCAATCCAGGCTGAGATAGTATTAATGAAAGCAAGAACCTGAGACTAGGTGGGTCATGGGCCCTAGGGGAAAACCTACCCCTGCTATTCTGCGAAATGAACGGAGCAGTAACACGACTCCTAATGATAGACTGCTGTACCCATAGATGAGTGCGTTGCTCAGCCTTCATTAGAGAAGCTTCTCATTGTAGGGGAAATGATAGACTGCTGTACCCATAGATCGGTGCGTTGCTCAGCCTTCATTAGAGAAGCTTCTCATTGTAGGGGATGGTAATTAACACAGAGACCCGCAGCCCAGCAGCATGCAGTGTGAGAGTCAATGAAGAAGGTGCCTTTCAAGGTAGCCACAGGTCTGTTTACAGACAGAGCACATGCTCAAGCACATGCAGAGACATCCATGAACTCCTTAGCAAGACAAACAAGAAATGTCAAAATAAAGAAAAGAAAACATTTTTCTTCAGGTCATTGTTACTAAAGACATGTGAGCCATGAAGAAAATTGCTTCTGGACTAGAATGAAAGGCCACACCCAGAGACTTGTGTGGACTTTCTCATCTGTTGGGTCCTTTCCACCCTTTACAGGCTGCACTTA